ATCGAAAGGACAAAGCGCTGTTATTGAAAATCTTTCATTATACTACTACTACAGTATGTTCGTTTGTTTGTTTTGTTAAGGCAACGCAACACTTGGGCGATCTGCTTAGGACGGATGCCTCCCGGGAGGTCTTTTTAAGGGTAACTAGCCCCTATTTAGGGTTACAGACGTGGAGAAAACCGGGAAAACTCCACAGCCCGTCCAAGCCAGATACGAACCCACCGATCTAACTCCCAGTGTTCGGGAAACGAAACCTCTTGGCCAATGGTGGGCCACTACTCTGTTCGTGTAATTCCTTTATCAATTGTTTCTGTAGACAAAGTTTTTCGTTATTTTATTGTTATTACACGACCGTAGGAAGGAAGAATAAAGTGGTTCGGCTGAAAAGAGAGCGATTATATAAAAGGAAAAAAAATCCCTGGGTATTGCTTTCTCCCTTTTCCTTTATCTTTCTCCTCATGCAACAGTCTATTATTCTGGTGTGACAGTGTTTTGAAATTAAAATTGTACTGTATTATTAACGTCGGCAGCAAAAAGTACTAATACGATTTGCTATTACTCTCCTGGCTGTTCTACATAACACAGGGAAAGTATGGCAATCGATCAAAAAATGACCCCTCAAGATTTTTATACTGATGGGCTCGGGTCCTCGAAACGTCGAAAAATGCAAAAACTTCAGTCTGTTTTCCTGCATATACGAATGTTGGTATGTGTGTACTGTACAGTACAGTACGTGGAGCATGATTTTTGTTCATCCCGTTTGAAGCTTAATAACTCCTATGTTTTTTGTTAAAAATTTCTGAAATTTTGCAGGGAGGTTTGTGTATTACAGGGTCGATGCTATTAAATTTTGATGGTTAAAGGTCGAGAGAGTGGGGAGATAAAGGAATCGCGTGTATCTCCAGTAGGGTCGTATTTAATAACGATTTTACTCGTTATTAGCATTTACGTTTTTTTTCCATAAAAAGTCATCTTTTCAAAGTTCAATTAAGCTTTTTGTCATTTTATAATTAAAAATATAAAAATTTTTAAAAATAAAATATCATAACAGATGGCGCCACCACATATTGCGCGGAAACTCGTTGCTGGAGTATTTTAAAATACCATTCGTACGTCGTTCTGTTGTTAAGCACAAATTTCCTACGATAGTACTAAGTGCCAAATGGTCGAGTCCTCAACCCTTCGCTCTAACGAATCCTGGTTCGAATCCCAGTCGGGATCCTCAGAAATTGTTAATACCCCAGCTTACACAGAGTAAGCGGGGTGTTTTCTCCGCTCTGGGAAATCCGGAGGGTGGAAAACGCATTTTCTGGGGTTGGACCGTTCCCTCTCCATCCGATCACCCCATTGTAAGCCCTACCGAACCCGCGACGGGCTGGATTAAAAGGCTCTCTTGGTGCCCACAGGGTAGAAAGTGTATTAAAAGAAAGCCATTTGTACAGTAAACCCCTGCTAACTCGGACTAATAGGGGTTTACTGTACTTTATTCCGAGCTTCGAATTTTTACTCTTCTTTGGAGTGCACGGTCGTTGGACTCCGAGACTCGAACAATTACACAGTTTAGACAATGAGCTGTCGTACCCCTTATATTAAGCAGGTGTTTACACGGAAGATTCCGAAAAATCCATTTTATTGACACTTCCGTTAAAATAAAAACGATGTTTTTTTCCGCGTTGCTAGCAAAGAACGTATAAAATTTAGCGAAATTTAAAATTTAAATGCCGAAAAATTAAAATAACCCGCACAACTTTCGACTTTTATTTAACGATTTATGTTAATCTACAAACGATGCAGGCAGGCATCACACGTGCCGTCTTCCGTAGAGGGAAAATCGAGCTTCGACCGGCTGTACGTCTGTCTGTCGTATCTTTCGACTCTTAAACATTAAAATTTTCGTCCAAAATAAATGACTTCCGTGGCATTTCGCAAAGGACGAATTTAATTATTTTTAAAAAATCATTTAAACGGAGAATAATTCGAATTTTTGGTCGATCGTCCGTAGGGACAATCGCCGAAAGACACAGAAAAAGAATACGTATGTGGCCATCGGGGTGGAGCGTCGATCGATAAACAAATTAGAATTCCGTCTCGACACGCGACGGGGGTCAAAGTTCTCGCAGGAGACACGCACGAGACGGTGTTTAGAGTAAGCTTCGCCACGCCAGCGACGTTGCGGGCGTCTTAATTAACTAATTTAAAAAAATTCACGCTCGACCTTCGACCTCGCGCGACTCTTCCCGCATCGATTCGGTTTTACACGGAAGAAACGATTGCGGCATAAGTTAAAACGACCGAAATTGAACGAGAATCGTCCGCGAAAAACGCAATTAATAAAAAAATTGAGCCATTTTTTAACACAGGAATAACTTGTGGTAAATAAGGCACACGCTACAAGTATACTAAAATTACGTGGGCGATCTCCCCCCGTATCTAAAATTTCTAGGTTTATCTACACTCGTGCTAGTCCTGATTCGATTCGGGTTAATAATACTGTTGTTGTTGTTGTTGGCTAGGATCCTCTCCGAAACGGGAATTCGACTCCTCTGGCGCTCCTTCCCGAAACTTTCGATTTTTTTCCACTTGCTGTCTATAAACTGCACCACTTGGTTCTGTTTAGCCTCGAATTCGTCCGATTTGGCGGACAGAGGTCTAAATATGGTGATGGTTTCCGCAAACCGAACGCACTTCTTGCTCTTGGACTCCGGGGGCGGAGAGCCCACCTCCTCTATGATTCTATCGATCTCTCTGTTGAGGTTCTCCTCCGTATCCGAGCCGACGCTACCCATTTTAGGCAGGAAGGGTACGGGAGAGGGGCGCTTTGGAGAGGTAGAAACGGGCGGAGTTTTACCCCCCACGTACAGATCCCCTATGGTGGATATGGTAGATTCGGTGCTGCAACCGGACAGTCCCGAATCCATCTCTTCTTCCACGCACAGTATAGTTTCCCTCTCTTCCGCGGTGGCTTCGTCGACGTCGCAGAAGTAATTGACGAACCTGGGCCGAGCGGAGGGCACGTCGTCCACTTTGGCGTTTAGGTTCAGACAGGCTCCCAGGTCCAGCACCCTCAAGTGGAGTCCGTCGTCTGTGGCGAACAGTACGGGAGTGGCTATATTTACGGCCGCGCTCTTCTTCAAGGCGCCCCTCTTCCTCCTACCTCCGGGTCTGACCGGAGGAGGGGAAAGGTCGTCGACCGCGTTGCTCCTGCAACATCCGAAAACGGCCAGAGATTTGCGCCTGATGTCTTTCCGGAACCAGAACACCGCCAAGGGGTACAAACAGGCGAAAACGTATCTGAACCAGGTGAAGGTGGTCTCCAGTTTCGAAGTCCTCTCGATGTCTGGCAGGTCGTCCGGAGACTTTTGAACCCCGTAACTGCAGCGTATGGCACCGGTCTGCTGTACGAACACGTAGGGGAGGTATAAAAACAGATAGAGCGTAACAATGGTCACCGGGAGTCCGTGACTCGACCACTCGCTCCACAGGTAAGACTGCTGGAAGAAGAGGTCGGAGTAGTTCATCTCCTGCTTCTTCCTGACCACTCTCTTGTCTCTGTAGGTGCGGTAACACGCGTAACACAGGTAGGAAACCATGCAGGCCACCGGCAGGGCGTAACACCAGGCCGTCATCAGGGCGGCGTAGGTTCTGCTCTTCTCGTCGGCCACACCGCAGCCGTAACGATCCGGAAACAGTCTGGATTCTATGGTGCGCGCCAACACAGGAACACATAGTAAACAACCCGCCAACCACAATATCACTATGGCGACCGATTGTTTTCCTACGGTCAATAAACGTTTGAATTGTTCGGGCCGCCATGACGCCACCCAACGTTCCAAACACAAGATGCAGATGCCCAGAGTGGTCTGGAGGGTGGCCAACTGGGTGGAAAAGGCGTCCAGGGAACAGACGGTCCTGCCCAATTTCCAGGCGTCGATGGAGACGTAATAGACGGATATCAACATATTGAAGATGCACTCGGTCAGACACACGACGCACAAATTGGTGAGTAACCAGTTGAGGGAGACTCGCCTCAGGCCGTAACTGGAAGACAGGGTGACGAGGAGGAGGAGGTTGGCCGCGAAAGACACCAGAAACAGGAGCACCAGGAAGGTGGTGACGATGTAGCGACCGGTGGGGTCCCTGGACGACGACGACCCATCCCCGGAAGAGTTGAGCAACAGAACCACGGTTACTTTGCTAATCCCCGGTGACGCGGTGGTCCCCGAATCCTCGGATGACGTCATCGTTACGGCGGGGGCGACCGGGCCCCAATGACGCGCATCGCCCGTTCCGAAGGGGTGCGGTCTACGCAGCGACACCTGCCGACTCCGATCGATGGCGCCTTTTCGCCTCTCGACCAATCACCGATCTCGATACGAAATGCGAAAAAGGAAATTCCTTTTCCGTCCCGCAAAAAATAATCCGGATAAATAAGGAAATCAATTCCCACCAATTAAGAATTTCCCATCGATTTCATTCTCTCCAGCAATTGCGTCCGATCGATCGTCGTTAACGATCGATCGACCTCGTATTAATGTTTACGTTCTGTCCGACATTTTCTTAGAAAATCATTTACCGAGCCGTGATTTTTATAAAAAGAAATTGAATTTTATTTAATAACAATTGAGGATCGGATGACGTACAATTAAACGGGATGTCGTGGGTCGAGTGGTGTTTGCATGGCTCCGGATATGGCTCCAGATAGGGAAGGAGCATTGGGACGAGGGGCCACGCACCAAGGAGTCGCGCCTTCGCCTTCTAACGCTCGATTCGTGGTTCCTCCGATGGCCACCAACTGCAATTTATTAAAATAAGAGATTTTAATAAAAAGGGGACCTCTTCGACTAAAAATTAACGATAAAATGCTAATCAGGCAGTCGCTTTCTCTAAAATTCGCCGTTTGGTGGTGTTAAATAGGTCGCTGGTGACGCGTTATCTCGGGCAAAAAGAGGCAATTGCCTAGGTCCCCGCTTACACGGGGAGAAAATATTTCCTCCAAAGAAAAAGTCCGAAGTCAACACTACGTGGGGCCCCCTAATTCAAATAAGGCCGGGCCCCGTCTANACTAAATTAGTTTCAATTGTTATAGTTGTAATTTTCCTATGGGCATTGAGGGCAGTTGTCTGAGCCCCCACCGACGGAAGCCAATCTTTTATAAGAAGATATTTCCCCCGAAGAAAAATGTATGACGGCAGTACCGTACGCGGGGCCCCCTAATTCAAATAAGGCCGGGCCCCGTCTATTTATAACGCGCCACGAGTACGTGAACCGTCGTGTTTTTTTCGCTTTCCGAAGTGTTTTAATTCTTAAAAAAATGAGATTTTGTAATTTTAAAATTTCCCCATCAAACGATTTTTCCCTTTTCCATTAAAAAAGATATATTAGCTCTGTAA